TCAGAACGATTTTGAGCCATATCACAAATTGTCTCCAGCCATTGGTTTATACCATCCCGAGGACCCCAACCAGGAAGTCTACACCTTCCTACGTAACTGGCTTAAACTAACTGTTGTGGATTTCTTCATTGACTGATGGACATGTTTTGTTTCGACCACCACCACCACCGCTTCTTTTCCAACCTGACCCATCCATTCGGTGTCAGATAACACTACCCATCGAAGAAGGAGATAGCTAGGCCTCATGCATGAGTAACACATGTCCTAACCATCTCAATCGATGTAACTTCACAACCTCGTCGATTGATTTCTCCTCCCTACTTACCTAGCAATCAACCGATGCCTCACTTCAATATTGCTCTCACCCCACTATACCACTTAACACGGGAGATACAACGCAGACACCTATGATCAAAGACAGCTAGCCAGGTTTTTCATATCTTCTGATTTCAATGGCCAGGTCTCACAGCCATAAAGGAGGACAGAGCAGACTGCTGAGCAGCACACACACCCTTTGGTTGATAGCAAGACAGACAAATCAAAAAACAATCTTGTCCTTTGCTCAAATCGGAAAGGTGAGATAACGCGTGCCAGTGAAAGCCTACGGAAAGCCAGCCAGCCGATTTGTCTCCTCTCGATGAAGATGAAAATAAGCAAAGGGATCTGGAATGTCCGAGCAATTTACGAAGCTGTCTGAGAAGGTTGCTCAGGTAGCCGAAGAAATTAGGAGACATAGCATAGAAGTTCTTGGAATCGTCGAAAGCAGGTGAAATGGTTGTGAGCTAGCGAAATAGTCAAATACAAAATCACTACTATACTCCCGTTACCCAGACGACAACCACCAACACATTGAGGAAGTGGCTACCACGATGTCCCCAACGGTGATCAAACCTCTTATGCAGTGGGAACCCAGGTCATTCTTGATAATCACAGCAAAATTCGACTGAAAAGAAATGAATGAGATTTACATTTATACAATTCTACGCCTAATGCTACAAACGACTCAGAACAAGCGAAGAAGCAAGATTTCAATAGACAGATGCAAAAAGTAATGGGTAACATCCCAAATGGGGACATCGAAAACCCTATGGAAAATACAGTAAGAGAACTAATCATGGGTTGAGATTCTCTCGCTCGGAGTAATGAATAACAATGGAGACCTCTGCGTCTTCAATGATTTGGTAACTGGAGGCAGCGTGTACAGACACAAGGATATACACAAAGCAACATGGATTTCGCCTGATGAACGCACCACAAACCAGATAGACTTCATCTGCATTCTGCCCAAGGAAGTGGAGACGCAGCCTGCTGAACACAAACCAGAGAAGCGGAGCAGATGTGGCAACCTTCAAGGTGAAGCTGAAATCCTTAAGAACAACTGGAGACAGGCCACTGTAATTCAAGTTCAACATTCAGGAACTGAAGGACAGAACTACAAGGGATGCCTTCGCTACAGATCAGATCAGAGCAAAGTCGGAGACGCAACGTGTTTTGACTGAAGAAACATGCGTGGAAGAACATTGAAACTAACTGTCTGAAGGCAATTTTCAAAGAAACGTGTACAACTCTTCTAGGAAGAAAGAAGAGACAAACCAAGGAATGACTCTCAACGGACACCTGGGAACTAATAGAAACGAGGAGAGGAGGATGTTCAAAGAGAAGGTGACTCAATGCAAAGATGGGGAATATATGAATAAGCTGAGTTCAATGCACACTGCACAGAATAAAGAAGAGTGCCAAGAAAGACAAAAGACACTTCTACGACACATTGGCTGGCCACTGAAGCAGAATAGGGGCAGGCCACAGGTACAACGCAACTCAGACCATTATATCAGATAACCAGGTGTCTATCTGGGAAGAGATCAATGCAGGTGAAAACTATGAAAGATGTTCAAGGGAGCTTAATTATCAAGGAGGAGAAAGAAATAAACCAGTATTTCTTAATCATGGATGGATTCAACGGTCGTTTCTGGAATTAATAAGCATACGATTAACAAACGAATTTCTCTACATGTTCACCTGAAAGTGAGGTGACACGTGTTCCAGTTTTGTCGAAAAGAACATGTTCTTGAATCGTTATTAAAATAAATAGATATCTATTACCATCCATTGCATAGGATTTATTAATATCGGGTCATAGAGTTAATATTTATGACTGATTCTCACGGTTATTAAAGTTGATAGAATCACTTTGGATTAACCATATGCGTTCCAGACTATGAATACAGACAACAGTAGACTTCAATATCTGCCTAACATGGACTACTTTATCTACGACAAAATGACTGACCATTAGTATTTCCTTTTGTTTTATGTAACCGACTAGTTCTCATACATTTTATTATTATTATTATTAGTGTGAACGATGCTAGTGGTAATTCTACTAATAGACAAATTACGAAGTGATATAATCTTGTGATATCTGTCTTCTTAGTGTTTTACCAAACGGATTGACCTTTCTCAAATTTCCAATTTCTCCTTTTAACAACTATCCTGCATATTGGAAGATGTTTTGTGCACGTCTGGGCAATATGCTGCAGCCTATCGCTAACGCATTATTAAGGAATGCAAACTAAATAACGAATTGGAATCTTTCTGAGACGCTCAGATTCACAATAACTGTCCCCTACCAACACTCATCAGTAAGTATTATGAAATATTAGTCGTTATCCACAAATGACTGAAATTATCAAAAAGTTAGTTATAAGCCTAAAACTCAATGTTAACGCGCAACACGTAGAATTCTCTATAGGCGACTGACGACAGTAGTTCGAAAAGCATTCTCCGTCACATCTCTACGTCTTAGCCTAACAACCAAGGTAAGATCGTCATGCTGTTCAAAAGGTTGCCATCTGGATCTTGGCTTTTGCTTTACACTGGGAAAACCCTGAACTGTGTGTATAGAAGTGATTTGTATAATCACTTTTACCACACAGGTCATAAACCGAATTTTTAATCTGGTATGTTTCAACAACGAAGTTGTTCTTTTGCAGGGGGTGTGGATGTTAGCCGTATGCCTAACCTTCCCTGTTTACCGGTCTTACTATCGTCTTGGTGGAGATGAGGAGTGCGTCCGTCGGTAATCGAACCCCGGAACATGTGTATAGCTGACGAGTGTTCTACCACTGAACGAACAACCAACGCACAACTTCAATATATTCTTTATGGACACTCTGAATCTCTTACTCTTATGAATAATGTGCGTCGGTGGCACAGTGGTTAGGACTCTCACCGACCATGCGCATCGTCTGAGGGGTTCGATCCCCTGCCGACACGGACACCTGATATCTATGGGGTCGGCCTGCAAAATTTGGGCTACCGATATCACATGTTGAAAATTCCATACCTGTACCAAAAATACAGTGTAGAATCAAGCTGTAATTAAAAATAATATTTTTGTTTCCAAGAGCTGAGACAGCTGAAATGATAATCAATCAATCTGAACAATAATAATCGTCAAAGGCTTTTAAATTACCAAAAGACAAATTGCCAGACAATACACATGCACAAAATACTCAAAGGTGCATAAGTATAGTGAAAAATCTCTGTCTGTTTTCGACATAGAACAACTTTGCACATATGTGCGGCATTTTAAGTCCCCACACTCCACTCCTTGTAGCACAGAAAGCAAGAGAATAAGAAAGTAGAAGAAATGCATAATAGAGACAGTAAACAGAGGTGTGAAACAAAGGAATAGTAGTAACGAATGGCAAAACAGTTTCATTGGAAATCAAAGTCACAAGGAGTGGATGCATGTGCAACAGCCAGTCATTGAGAACGATTTTGAGCCATGTCACCAATTGTTTCCAGCCTCCATTGGTGAAAAAAAAATACCTCAGTGTAATCTTAAGCTTGGTGATATAAGATGCAAATCAAATTTGTCAGGCTTTCACATGAAGATATGAAATTTGAAGGTGATTGATTAGATTTTACCTTGTGGATGTGATCTCAAGACAGCAGTCTCTAACTTTAATAAGTGAAGACAAATCTGGCATAGGTGCAGAGTGCTGGGTGAGAAGCGAAAGCCCATATACGAATTTGTAAAGCATTTCAAACCAGTGCATTCGTCATCGAGCAATGTTAATCTGACATGGGATTACAAGTGATATATATTCACTTCTACAACTATACCTTTTGAAGTTGTCAGCAACTGAGGGAAAACTATGAAGTAAAAAAAAAGATTACCTCCTTTCATCCTGCAGATATACGATTAAGTTGGAATATTAGTTAAGGGTGGGCCCCAACAAAACGTGGAATCCAGATGTGAAGCTTTTAACTGCTGGTTTAAGTCAGTCACCCCCATGTAGGGAGGTGTAGACTATCTAGTTGAGGTTGTTGAGATGCTAAGGACAAATGGGTTGAAAATATTGATGGATATGGCTCAAAATTGTTATGAATGGGTGAGATGCATTTACTCTCCCGAATCTAGATTTCCATAAAATCATTCTTCCTCCCATATATTTCTGCTCATTATAGATAGTACTTCTGAATTTTTCCTCTACCTTTGTTGTGTGCTTTATGTAGAGAGTATGGCGAGTTGAACTTCTGCACTTTTGTGCAAAGCACTTTGCTGAAACTCTAATCGGACGACAAATGAATTGTTATGCATACAACAGTCAAATTATCGAATTCCATTTGTAGATATAAGCTCCCTTAAACTTTATTGTTATGAAATGCATGTGTGTTAAGGAACTTAAGTTTGCCTGATAGGCGGCGATACAACAGGTTAACAAGCTTTCTTTGTAACTTAAAGTTTCTCAGTTCGATTCTGGGTGGCAGAGTCATATTGGGTACGATCTGATCAAGTCTCGTCTCTGAACAAGGCAAAATAGCCGTCCAATTCTCTCTGACTTGTATCAGACTAGATGTACTTCAGAAGGATACACATATATATATGTCCTTGGTAGTAGAAAGACACACAGTTAGGAAAGAGACTTTTCTCTCTTCATTAACGCAGTCAGTCAGCTGATTCAAAAATATCAACAAATAACAACAACAACAACAACTAGTCACCATCGTGTATTATAATCAAATGATGCAGTATAGAGAAACAACAAAAGAAAATGGGTCTTGGAAATCAATAAATACACATTCTCATCATTCAAAGTTATAGCAAATTCTCGATATCACACTGTTTACACACTGTTTGTATTTATCCTGAAAAAACATGAATGTCATCTGGTATATATATCTCAATTTTGCATTAGTAGACAGGTAATGTAATTAATATATGTGTATTGCGTTGAAATGATAATGATAGAAGACAAAAATTATGTTCGCCTGTGTTGAATTTATCACAACTGTCTGTCTGGCGTTAAACTAACTACGAATTATTTGATCTCTTTTTATGACAATAGTTCGCGAAGATGCTGAGGAAGACGATGATGCAGGAGAATTATGCTGTTCACTTACAGCTTTCATAGTTTTCGGTGAATCATTCTGTTGTTTTGGCACAGACAGTAAAAGCCAAGGTCTTTCTTCATAGACGACAGCTTCCCCCTGGAATTGATGAAAACGGAGAAATATATATAATTATATATATATATATATATATATGCACAGTGTAACACCAAAATGTGAAGAATTACTCAGCAAATTCAACGTCTATAGGTACACAGATGGGTATCACAACAGTTTTTAAGGCTTCACTTGAAGGCAAGTCTTATTCACTGGGCGCGAAACATGGAAAGAATGAAAGCAGAAGTTCAGCGTTTATATAATTCGACTGATGAACATGCAAGTTTATAACCTAGGGAAGCTGACTAGCACTACGGCGTGTACATAGGGGGTTCCAGAATCCCCAAAGGAAAAAATGGTGCATATGAATCTGTTTCAGTCACCGGGAACCGTGGGGACGTATCTCCTGACGCTGCTTCACTGTCTCCCTTCCTTGCGAATCTGACTTCAAATCAACAGCTGGCGAGGTGGCCTCTTCAGACTACCTGATTCGAACTACGCATTCTGGCAGTATCCTAGAACTCGCGCAAACTATGGGACTTTGTATGACGCCCAGCATGTTCCAAGTTTGTGGTTTAATAGTGATAAACAGAACAGCGGCAGAATGAAAATCAAGTCTTTTATTCATCTAATCAACTTACTTACTTAGATTCGATTAGCGAATACACACTGTTTTTTCGAGGAATTCTGTCCGATTGAACTACATTACTACTTCAGGTATTTTGATTCAGGTCTACTGATCAAATAAGCAATTTCTATCTCATTTCTGTGTCAACTGTATTTTTAGAGAAGATCCTAAAAACTCTAGAATACAAGGAAGGAATGGATACGGTTTCACAGGTGTTTGTTTTCAGGGATCTGATTGGCATCAATTTTGGTCATGAACTGACATCAGTTACAGTACTACTGTGAACCAAGGAGTACTGGACACCTCCAAAACTCTTCATCAGTAAGCACCGATGATTTCACCAAGAATTCAGCCCACAACCATGAGGTTAAGAGGCCGGCTCATTGTGCGTCGGTGGCACAGTGGTTAGGACTCTCGCCGACCATGCACATGGTCCGGGGTTCGAGCCCACGCCGACGCACACCTGATGTCTATGGTCGGCCTGCGAATTTTGGGCTACCGATATCCACGCTGAAAATTCCACACTTGTACCAAAAATACAGTGTGGAATCAAGCTGTAATCAAAAATAAAAAAATGACTGTTCACAACACCTCTGGGATAGAATCCAATGACCAGTCCATGAATTCTAACTTCTGCGAATTCGTGACCTATACCGCACCACCACCGACTTAATGTCGTCACCGAGTATTTGTTCTTACACGCAACTTCTCACTAGAACACTCCAGGCAACTTTCTCTTGTAGTCAGTTTAGTTTAGTTTGGTTAGAAACACACACAGCTATTGCCAAGTATTCCATTTTTATATCAGACGATAAATTTGTTCATTGGTGGATGGTGACTGATAGAGGGATCCAGGATAAAGCGCATTTCGTCCTACTTGGGACTCGTCGCCTGGATGTACCAGCATTTCGATCCAATCAGTCGACGGGAAAATATAAAGTTGAAGTAAAGATACATTTGTTCATTCACACCCTCAAACCCCTATAATCCTTATGTATCATTACGTTGCAACAAGCCATACTGCACACTGCTTCCATTAAACCTTAAGCATCTCGATATTTTCTATTTTGTGGCTTAACTAACCTACAAAGTGAACTATCAAAGAAACGAGTCCCAAGTTTCATACTCATATAATTCATAATTTAATAAACATCATTATTTGTCATAAAAAAAACTAGGGTATGTGTTTAAACTGGAAAGTTTTGGTAAAGATGAGGTATGAGAAAAGGCTTATGAAGAAAAATCACTCGAAATATTTTGCGAAATACGAGGGAAACCTAATACGGGTTTGTATGACAACTATTGTAACGCTAAAATAATCAACATCCTCTCTGTACTCAAAGCCTACTGCAAAATGACGCAGTAGAGAATAACACTGCATTTTCTTGGGTCCCGAGCGGAGCATTGGACTTCAAGCACCACATCAACAATTCACTCTGTTTCTTGGCAATTTTTTTTCACTGGCTCCACTTCTGCCCATATACTTTTAGTTCCTCTTTACACGATCTTCTCCAAGTTACTCTTGGCAGTCTACATAAGCGTTTCTCATTCCGATTCATTAGAATATGTTCAGCTCATCTTTGTTTCCTTCGGGCTATTTCTTCCAACATAAGTTCTTGATTGATTTGTTGCCACAATTCTGTGTTACCTGGATTTCAATGTCTATGTTGATGAAAGTCTGCAGTTGGTCTGTTGGAAATGCACTCGCTGGCAGGCATGCGAAATCGTCTCTTAAACTCTGACTCACTTGACATAAGTGTTAAAATTCTGAATCTGGGCAGATTTTCAAACTGAATTTGGACTAGTGAAGGTCCGACATGCCTTTCCAATACTGACTTTGATATCTGCCGCCTGTGGCTGACACAGTGCCGCCTAGGTAAGTGAAAGAGGTGTGACTTCCTTCCTCTGGATTTCTCCAGTTGATGGTGACTGATGCTTTTGTTGTTGGGTTAGGGTATCTTAATCATCTCTGTCTTCCAATTTATTTATTTGAAGTCAGTCGTGTCTGCTGTTTCTTCTGTCAGTTTGTTATTTCTCACCTTTTGTGAGACACTACACATTTCTAGCATTTAATATAATATTTATAAAAATGAATTGATTGTATAATAATATAGTGTCTATTCAGAATTACAAATACTGATGACAGAAACATACACTAAGTGATTCACGTTGTCGCAATTGTACTTCTAGACGACCTCCTACAACTTTACGACCTTCTTTTAGATCACCAATGTGGGTTACCGTAGCCGATTGGACAAGTCCAGTCAGTGGAATTTCAGTTACACCTAAAACACCCCAGCTCCGAAATATACCACGGTTATAGTAGACCTGGAGAAAGAGGTAGGCAAAAACAGGTTTGCACATTCATATATATGTGTAAAAATATATGATAAAATAAACTGATAAAAAAACATTGTGCCGATGAAAACAATATAGTCACAAAAACGCTGCTCTGAGGTGTAAATTAACGCCTACTACTACTACTACTAATCATGAGTTCTATCTTTCATAAGTGTTACAATTAGGTTATTTTAATTTTTTCATATGAAGAAATCTGTGTCACCGAAATCGGTTGTCAAATACTTAAGTCATAAGGAGACTCTATAATTTACCATGTTGTTTTGAAGATTATGCACACATATGTGACTACCACCTTCAGCTTTGTTTCCCGTTTAACCCTATTTCAGTTATCATTGCAGCGTCTGACTGACTGACTGGTTTCAACATGGAGCTTTGCATCGATGAACAGCAGTTCAAGTCGCCACACTCCTTGCAGCATACAAAGCAAGAGAAGAAAGTAAAACGAAGTGCAGAATAGACACACACAGTAAACAGAGATATAAAAGAATAGTAATATCGAAGGACAATTTGGTTTTATTGTAAATTAATAAATCACAAGGAGTGGATGCATCTGCGCTATGTGTAACGAATGAAGGCAAGAGTCAAGTAACAGATCGTTTATTAAGGAAATCAACACATATTTGTAGATTTTCATATAAACTATCAATGATTATGGTTAGCTGACAAATACAGCTTTCTGAATTGTTGTTTCTCACTAAAAGTTAATCTTTCATCTCTTTGTGGCTGTTTCTTGAGTGTCAGATCATCTATCTGCCAATTGTATCCGCATACGCAAAGTCTGCTGTCAGTCTTTGATCTTGTTTTCACATGTTTCACATTCGGCACCTAAACATTGACATAAATTACTGTCCACCAATTTGGCTAGCAGCCATATCTCACCACATATGCATTCAGAACGATTTTCAGCCATATCACAAATTGCCTCCAGCCATTGGTTTAAACCATTCCGAGGACCCCAACCAGTCAGGAAGTCTACACCTTCCTACGTGACTGGCCTAAAGTAAGTGTTGTAAATTTCTTCATTGACTGATGGACATGCTTTGTTTCGACCACCACCACCGACCGAGAGCTCCTACCTTGACGTGGTGGTCGGGCTTGAACACCGCAATGACCTAATCAAGCTATACTGGCTGAGACTTATGTCTCTTGAGGTTCTACCATGCCAGGCAGGTTGTTTGGATAGCGGTTAAACAAAAAGCAGCTACCCATCCAATACCATGATTCAAACAAATTCACAAAATTTCATGCCGGATCGGCCGTGGCCCGGATTAACAACGACCGCGCTTCCTGCTGCCGTGTCACAGGGCAGGAGTGATAAGTATGCTACTGAGGCACACCAAACAAAAAGAAAAAACAAAAACAGGCCGCGTGTGACCGGCCTCAAGCAGTTGTCCCCTGGGCTCTGCGGTCACGCAACCAACTTCCACGGTGTGGGCAGCCGGGAAGTAACAAACGCCCTCACAATCCGAAATGCACACAAAACCTCTCTAATCCTCACTTATCTTTGTCTTCATCTTCATCTCTATTACCTTGCCTTCCTCCCACTGATGCAACTCCTCTACTTGATGGCTCCTCACTCCCTCTTCACTCTGTGTCCACTAAAAACGAGGAAGCCAAAAAACCACCACCGATAGTCTCCTAAAGCCACGCCACCAATTTCATATAGGAGCATTTAATGTTAGGACACTTTGCCAAATAGGACAACAAGCATCACTAGCTAAGACCCTGGCATCCCGAGCCATTGATGTATGTTGTGTTTCAGAAACACGCATACAAGACCCAAGTGTGGTTATTCACCTAACCCCACCTGGCCAACAGGATGAATCTTCAAAATTCACCTTGAGGGTGTCAGGAGATGCCACAGCTAGTTCACGAGGATTAGCTGGCGTAGGGATAGCTTGAGTACTAGGGCAGAAAAGACATTGCTTGACTGGATCCCAGTAGATAGCCGAATGTGTGCTGTCCGTCTGAACGGATCAGTAAGAAGGAGAAAGGACTGCACTACTCGCCGATGCCTTTTCGTAATCTCCGCCTACGCCCCCACTGACTGCAGTTCGGATGAAACGAAGGATGAGTTCTACCAAAAGCTGTCTAGTTTGGTGAGAAAGGCTAAACGCTCAGATATAGTCGTTCTAGCTGGTGACTTATATGCTCAAGTAGGGAAATTGTGTCAATCTGAGAAGGATGTCGGTGGCACCTATGGAGTTCCGTGCCAGCGAACCGACAACGGTGACCGTCTCCTACAGTTCTGTTCAGATAATCATTTGTTTCTTGTAAGCACTAACTTTAAACACAAGGAGAGACACTGTTTAACCTGGCGACCCCCATCATCAAACCAACGCTGGACACAAATAGACCACATAGCAATAAGCTATCGTTGGCGTGGGTCGGTAGGAGATTGTCGCTCCTTCTGGAACACGTGTGTAGATACCGATCACGCACTGGTCCGGGCTCGTGTGTGCTTACGACTGAACGGACGTAGGAAACAGCTGGCGGTAAAACCATCACGTCCCCAGCTCGATCAGGAAACTAAATCCCTATTTGAGGAAGAACTAGCTAAACGCATATCTGTGTTCGACAGCTGTGCTCACCCTGGAGAAGCCTGGAAGAATATTCAGTCAGCTATAGATACAGCTGTAAAAGCTGTGAATAAGGCAAATCCAAAGGTGAGTAAAAACCACTGGATTTCGACTGCCTCATCCGAACTGATAGATGCTAGAAGACTTATTCCGGCGAGCTCCGAATTCAATGAGGAGCGAAAGCTGCACAAAAGGAAACTTACTAAAAGTCTCCGCAAGGACCGTGAACAGTGGTGGGTGACAAAGGCGAAAGAGATGGAAAAAGCATCGGCGATAGGCAACACTAGGCAACTCTTTAGACTCATCAGGAAACGGGTGGGAGAAGGCAATTCATAAGTGAGACTATTTCTGAGAAAAATGGCTCCTTAATTAGCTCTCAGGATAGACGCCTTGAACGCTGGAAAGAACACTTTGAGGGACAATTTAACTTGCCTACAGCCACACTGAACCTCCCCGCCATCCAACACACCCGAATGGGATATAGACACTGGTCCGCCGTCTGTAAGTGAGGTTACAAAAGCTATCAGTAATTTGAAACGAGGCAAAGCGGCAGGACCCGACGGAATTATTCCGGAGGTGTTTAAATATGGGGGTGACATACTAGTTTGTAGATTAACTGAGGTACTAGGCAAAGTCTGGGAATCAGAGACAGTGCCATCAGACTGGGGTAAGTCACTTATTATACCGATATTCAAGAAGGGAAACAAGTCCTCGTGTGATAATCATAGGGGGATCAGCCTAACGAACATAGTCTCTAAAATCCTAGGCTCAGTAATCATGCATAGACTAAGCAGAACTCGGGAGGAACAGACAAGGGAAAATCAAGCAGGCTTTAGACCAGGTAGAGGGTGCATAGATCATATCTTCACTCTTCGACAGATTCTAGAACATAGACACACTTTTCGGCGTCCAACAATTGTCATATTTCTTGACTTGAAGGCGGCCTTCGACTCCGTGGATCGAAAGGTACTATGGCAATGTCTGACTGTGAAGGGAGTGCCAAGAAAGTACATTGCACTAATCAAGGCACTCTATTCAAACTCACGTAGTCGTGTAAGGGCTTATGGGGAATTGTCATCTGAATTGGTAACAACCAGTGGTGTCCGACAGGGATGTCCACTTTCCCCATTTCTGTTTAACTTCATCATAGATATGCTGATGGAAGTATCCTTAACTGAACGTAATGACTTAGGAATCGACTTGTTACCAGGGAATAGTCTTATGGACTTAGAATATGCAGATGACATAGTCCTGTTAGGGGAGGATGCTGACAAAATGCAGAGTCTTCTGAACACCTTGAGCAGCAATCTTCGTATGTTTGGCATGCGATTCGCCCCTACAAAATGTAAGATGCTGCTACAGGACTGGACTACGTCAACTCCTAACTTAGTGATAGGGAGTGAAGTGATAGAACATGTTGACCACTTCACCTACTTGGGAAGTTGTATTAGCACCAACGGACTGATTGGCGATGAAATCTCAGCACGGATCCGAAAAGCTCGAGCTGCTTTCGCTGACTTACACCATCTCTGGCGTAGGCGTGACATCCGGTTATCAACCAAGGGACGTGTGTACTGCTCATCAGTTCGCTCCGTCCTTCTCTATGGCTCTGAAACATGGCCAATACGCGTTGAAGACATGAAAAGGTTGACTGCTTTCGATCATAGATGTCTGCGATCTCTGTCTCACGTTAGGTGGTTTAATAAGGTAAGTAATGTTGACGTTAGGCGTAGAGTGTTGGGCAAAGAGGGAAAATCAATCGACGAGGCTATAAAGTTACATAGACTAAGATGGCTAGGTCACGTCACGTGGTGCGCATGCCTAACCACCGCCTCCCCCGACGGGCATTACTAGCTGATATAGGTGCAGGTTGGAAAAGAGCCAGTGGTGGCCAAACAAAAACATGGCATCAATCCATGAAATCCTTGACAGTTAAACTGAGTCAGGTAGGGAGATGCAGACTCCCGGGTTGGGGCCCTCGGGACTCTAGGAATCAATGGCTGGAGACAATAGGTGACATGGCTCAAAATCGTTGTCAATGGCCAGCGCAGATGTATTCAGTCTCTGTAATCTTTCATATTCCTTTCTACCATTACCCATTCTGTTTCACTCTTATACTTGTCAAACTCTATTGATTCTCTTCACTCATCTTCTTGTCTACCTCTGTGTGCTATTTGGAACGTGGCAACTCGAACTGGTGCACTTCGGTGCCAAGTTCTATGTTGAATCCAGACAGACAGAGCATCACCACCACCACTTCTTTTCCAACCTGATCCATCCTGTGTCAAACAACATTGCCCATCGAAGAAGGAGATAGCTAGGCCTCATGCATGAGTAACACATGTCCTAACCATCTCAATCGAGGTAACTTCACAACCTCGTCGATTGATTTCTCCTCCCTTTTTACCTAGCAATCGACCGATGCTTCACCTCAATATTGTTCACCCCATTATACCACTTAACACGGGAGATACAACACAGACACCTATAACCTACTTTCCATGGCCACGCCTCACAGCAATGAAGGAGGACGGAGAGGACTGCTGAGCAGTACACACAACCTGTGGTCAAAAGCCAGACTGATATCACATCTACGCCAGAGACGGCGTAAATATCTAAGACATAATGTCAACATTCTTCTCGGTTTGTAGAGATATGATAGACTTATAGTTGAAATAGATAACTTTTCACAAGGAGTGGATGCATCTGCACCAGGCGGCCATTGAGAACGATTTTGAGCCATATCACCAATTGTTTACAACCATTGGTTTTTACCGTCTCGAGGACCCCAACCAGTCAGGAAGTCTACACCTTCCTGCGTGGCTTAGACTAACTGTTGTGGATTTCATTGACTGGTGCCAAGTTTTTGTTTGACCGCCGCTAGCTTTTTTCCAGCCTGACCCTATATCAGCTAACATTGCCTATTATCGAGGAAGGCGGTGACTTGGCATACGTAACACATGTCCTAACCATCTCAGTCTTTGTAACTTCACGACTTCGTCGATTGATTTCCCCTGTTTACCTAGAACTCGACGCCTAACTTCAATATTGCTCACCTTATTATGCCACTTTACACGGGAGATAGAACGCAGGCACCTATGATCAAAGACAGCTAATCTTTTCATGTCGTCCACTCTCAGTGGCCAGGTCTCACAGCTGGCCATAAAGGAGGACGAAGCGGGCTGATGAGCAGTACACCCGCCCTTTGGTCGATAGTTAAATATCTCGTCTACACCAGAGACGGCGTAAACTGGCAAATGCGAAACGAGCCCCCTGTGTCCGTGCTGAGATCTCGTCAGAGATCAACCCGTTGGCAATGGCTGGTGGTACTTTCCGAAATAAGTGAAGCGGTCAACGTGCTTTACCACTTCACTTCCTATTTCTAATCTAGGCGTCGATGTAGTCCAGTCCTGTGACATCATCTTGCATTTGGCGGGAGCGAATCGCTCGCATCCCAAACATTCGTAGATTGGATTTTGTCAGCGTCTTCGCCTAGAAGGACTATATTGTCAGCATATTCGAAGTCAACGAGATTATTCCCCGGTAGCAAGTCAATCCCTGAGTCGCTGAAGTCACTTATGGTTAAGTCCATTAACACATCTATGGTGAAGTTGAATAGAAAAGGGGATAATGGGCATCCTTGACGGACACCACTAGTCGTCACCAGTTCAGATGACAACTCGCCGTAAGCCCTCACCTGGCTGTATGAGTATGAGTGTATAAGAAAAAGAATGACAGTTGACTGGAGTACCGTCAACTTCATTGGACTTTGGTTGGTAGTGTAGTTTGAAAAAAAAATAAGAGTAAAATTGCAGTCAAATATGTCTGACATATATGCTGTCACTTAGCCGCCTCTGGTGTGAATTGTGATGATGAGGTTATCTTACTGGATAAACGCAAATAATATATTCCACCCACCCACTCACCCCCATTTGTGACAGATATCATCATCATACTCAACCAATTAATTATCAGTATAAAATGACTATCAAAAAAACGCCAATTTATTATCAGCATAAAATGTTCTCCAAATTCAGATGTCAGTTTGTAGGGATTTAATTGATTTCAAGTTTAATCACTAACACTAGTATTATTCAGAGAACTACTGAAAACCACAGAGTACTGGATATCTGTTTCGTCCTAGTTTGGGCTGCACGTATTCATGACGCTACTACCGGGGACCGAACCCACAGCCTACAGGCGAATTGACAGAAGTTAAAATTCATAGGCTATTAAATTCCATCCCAGTAGCTAGATGGTCACTCGGTTCACCTCGTAATCGGAAGGTGCTAGGCGCGTACTGACGAAGGGTCCCAAACTAGGGATGAAATAAACTTTCCAGTATTCCCTGAGTTTTCACTAGTAGTCTCCTAGCTGATATATCAACTCATCGTTAAATTTGAAACTAATCAAATCCCTGAAAACTAACCCCTGAATTTGGAAACATTACCTAGTTAGCAGCTCAGACCAGCGAAGGTGTATTATTTATGCGCATATTAGAATTATTGGGACATTTGTTAGAGATATGACTACTTGCTCGTCTATGACAACAAGAAACACAACAACACAAAGATAGACACACTATGGGATGTCAACAACTAATCATAGTAATAATATTAATAATCACAGTATAATAATAACTTACTGTTGCTTTTAAACACCTATTACTTTGAACAAAACGTTTATATATCCGACCTTTTGTATTTACACGGAATTCTTTAACCGATTGAGTATAAACAGGTTCACAACTAGATTTAGCAATATTAGTGGATAATTTCATTGATGGACTAGATGTACTAATGCATAATTCCACATCAACATATGTATCAATATGTGAATAATGCGATGGAAGTGGATATGCTATGCCACGGAGAACAGTTACCTCGAGGACATCATCACCTAGTTCAGCATTAATATTTAATTTTGGCAAATTAGCAGATTCAAAGTAAGGTGTTAGTATACCGACTTGATGACTATGCTTAGATAATACTTTCTTTATGCATGTATTAACACTCATTAGATCAGATAGTTTTGAAATAACAGACTGGTCCCCATTACGACGATGTTCAGTTAACAGATGACTAACCAACTTTTCTTGTTCTGATAAAATTTCTGAATACACCTGAACCAGATGATCGCCTGATGAATTAGAAGATGAATGAATACTAAATATTAACAAACAAATAATAATAATACCGAAAAGCTGGAAACATTTCACACGGTACATAAGAGATAAATAAACATTTCTCAAAGCAAAAGTACACAATCAACACATACATAAGAAACATAAGACAGAAACTGTATTTTACTTAGTTGTATCGCTTTTGCGTACTTAGTGGAAAATAGTGAGGAGGAGCTTCCGGCTTTCAAGTCCCAGTGGTAATGGTATTACTTTTTACGAGGTGAGCTTGTTAGTCTGACGCCCAACCTACCCTCTTTACCGAGTTTGTTTCGAGCCAGTTGACGTCTACGAGTGCATCAGGCGGGAATTAAACGGTTGACCGTGTGCGTGATTAGCCAGCGTTCTACCGCTGAACCACCACTAGTGTGTATCATATTACTGAAACAATCTACAAAATAAAAATCCACCAATAAATTTTATACGTTTATGACAGATATCCAATGGTTTTAATGCTTGGTCATAAGAAACTGGAATTATTCATCAAACATTCGCAGTTTCGCGCTCCTGATAATATTATTATTGCCTTGCGTCTTGAATGGAATTTACCACTTCAATAGCTCGGCTCCATTTCTTTTTGTTTTCCGGTCTTTTTTCTAGCTGGCCCAACCAATAACTATAAGCTTTTATCTCCTCCATGTTATCCTCCGGTCCACACCCAACTCATCATTTCCCATTCATATCCCACTCGACAGCGTGGGTTGTGGAGCGTGACGTCACTCGAAGGTCTTCTCAGCGTGTGGCCAATCTATCTCCATTTCTTTCGACAACTATTGACAATAAGTCACACTGGTAATAGCATAAAATTGTCTAAGAACTAGAAATCACAGTCCACTCACTATCTGGAAAACAGCAACCACAGTTTGAACTGTTAATAACAGACAATTTAGTGATTGGTCTATTTTCTCTAAGAGTATCCAACTCAAATAGGCATACAACTGCTTTCCTTCTAGCCTTCATCCCATACACCGATCGATTCCATTTATTCTGATCGACATCGTAATCCAAACAGCTAAGACCAGTACTTCTTAGCTCCTTTAGTCAGGAAAATGTGAAGTGACTAATAATCCCCATGTAGTATGAATGCATAATTACATAACATCATACGAAGAAAGTGATCCAGGTGAGTATTGCGGTTTCAGAGCTCCAGCGCACAGTGTGATACTGACACCCACTAAATTGGACGCCCACATCATCATATGATCATACACAAAGGTAGGGGAAAAAATCCTACGGAATTATGATGAGTGGAAATGTGCGGGAAGAAAGAAAAAGTACTATGAAGAATAATGAGTATTTGATGGACCCAAAAATTTATAAAGAGCTAATGAATCAGTGCTAGTGAGGAGGATTTTGAGCTATGTGAACTGGTGATCAACACTCGAAATCTGGCTTCCAGTTTTTTCTAAGAACACTCGTGACGCTCACCACCTCATCAAAGTAGTGAACAGAACTCACTCCTTATCAGAGAGGCTAACGATATGCGGCCGCCGCACGACAGCACTTCGAAAAGAAGACCAGAGTCTACCCAACATCAGTCGTACTACATCATTTATGGAGAGGGCGCTCGCTTACTGTAATTATTTTGCAATTGGAGTTCTCATATCTATTTTGAGACTCATTTCCGTACAGACAAAGAAAACAGGTATTACAGAATTATTTTAAATATCGACAGATTGTTTAGCAAAGCAAAATAAGGCTTTCCTAAACACGCCACTGTGTAAGTATAAGCCACAGTCCTTTCTTTCTCAGAAAAATTTACTCGGAGTAAATTTATTTTATAATGATTCAATCAGACTCGGTGTTCATCATATCATTCCAGAATAATTATTCATTTCATGCAGAAATAAAACATGCATAGTGTGACGAAACAGAAACCTACCCGAAGATGTTTTAAGGGCGACTGCATACTTCACAGGTGGCTCACAATTTGATCCGCTTAAAATTGGCTTATATGCAGCAGATTCATTAGTTGTAGGCGATCGTGGCAACTGGGATAAATCAATTGGAAAACCAGCCTCAGCAGCTTGTATCATTTGATTCATTCCAAGAAATGATCGTATATACTTTTTAGCTAATTCAATATTACCTGATTGTTTTGCAAGTTTAGCAGCTTCTTTCAATTCATTCTGACGTTTAGTTAAAAGTGTAACAATAGCCACAGATTTACTTTTACCTGAAACTTGTCCAGAACTAGGCTTTGATAAAGCTGCTGCTTTATTAGATTCATTGCCAGTGGATTTTTCACCTTTAGTTATTTTAGAACGATCATTTAACGCAGGATAACCTGGAGGTGGAACTAGTTCTTCAAATTCAAATGAAATATATCCATTTTCACAGGCGCGTAATCCTTCTTCATATCGATTAAGAATACGATTGTAACGACGTCTTTTTGAATCTTGTGATGGATCATCGCCTATTTGTTTTATCTTTTCCTAAATGAAACCAAACAAACAGTATAAACTTTGAAAAATAACCACCAAAAAATTTCCTGTTAAAATCATTTTGAAAAATGATAAATCCAAACAAGTAGAAAAAGTCATTTACATATACTTCTATAATCTAATCACACTTCCGTGTACAATCATGCATCATGCATCTCTTCATATGCCCGTTGATAAGCAACACTCTATCTTAGCTCTGTCTATGGCATAAATGACATTATACAACAATTTAAATGGCTGCTATACCTGCCTACCTTACAACACTATACGGTAAGTTAATATAGAATAATAATACCTGAGAAGAGAAGTGGAATCTGTCAATCTTAAGTGGGGTTATGGGATGACTATTGAGTACATCAACAACAACCACTGGTAATAGAAGTAATTCTGGTTATACATACTTTATAATAGGCTATACGTGCCAGAATGTTTTCTGAGCAGATGACAGGCGTCTTCATAATATCTGGGACTGTTTGTTTCACTTCTGTTGGTGGCGGAGGAGCTGGTGGTGCAGCAACAGCTCCACTTGAATTCTCTTCATCTGCACCAGAAAATTCGTATTCCGATGGTGGTGGAGGTAAGTCGGTCTCAGGATCGAATGTTTCCTTACCAGCTTCAATATTGACAATAGCTTCACCGATACACTTGGACGCTTCCAATAATTCCTTTGCTTTACCAAGTTCTCCGTCATCACGAGCTTTTAAAGCGGCTAACTGTACAACAAGGAATTTTAAATTTAAAAAAAATTGAAACCAACATAATGGATTAAAAAACAACATGGTTAGTAAATGTTTTGAAGGCGATAATTTGTTAAAAGAAACACCTGATCAATGTTAAGCTAAAATGCATTTTCCTCTGTGAAAATGTCACCTATCCTAGTAAAATACCATCATAGTATCATTGCGGAATCTTCTAATATCCAATGCAAAGTAACCAACAAGTTGATAGAAGTATTCCAAATCAACAATAAATGGAACCAATGCAACGCAACAACCCCAGCTTCATGCACTGAGCACAGAACCAAAGTAACAAAATGACAGCTAATGTCACTATTTGACTGCCAAGCTCGTGGCTGAAGCTGACAGTCTTTCGCTTACCTGAAGTATGGTGTATTTTTGCCGTCTAAGTGTCAAGTACTATTGCAAGACTGACAGGAACCTGTACCGGAACTCAACTTTGCAAATGAACTGCTTCAAGTTGTCGACAATTTCGTGAACTTACGCAGTTGTGTGTGACTGCTGGAAGACGTATGCTGGATAAAATCTCTAATCGCATAGTCAAAGCTAAGACGGCTTAATCCAATTTGAGCCAAGTCTAGTGCCACTGTGACGTTAACCTCGCTGACGAAGGTTAGATTTACAACGCCTAAGTGTGCGTCATCTTCCACTACGCCTGTGAAACCTGATTTGTCCTAGCTGAGGATGTCCGGTGACTCTGCATATTCAGTCATTATTATCTCCGTGTAAGTGTCTGCAACTAATGGCATAATCACGTTTGTATTGAGGTCTGACAGTGTGTCTTTAAACACAGTGGAATATCAACATTCACTGAATGTAGTCATCTGGAAACACCGGCTTTGGTGGCATGGACATGAACAATGAATGTCATCCCAGAGGCTTTCGTACAAGTCACTGTTCAGTGGCTCTGGATGGAAAAAGGAGAAAGGTTGACAGCCTATGACATAGTGTGTCATGGGAAGAAGGATACTTGTGTTAGGTTAGCCTCGACTGATACATCACGAATCTCCCCGTTGGCATCTGACAGACGTATCAAATCAATAGCTCGAAACATTATCAGATTTGGCCAAGAACCGTAGTCAATGGGGAACATGCTGCGATTTCCTCCTTTCATCTCTTTCTGAAGGTAACATGTGAAGTGGTGAATGTTGGCATGAACGATCTTGACAATTATGCATGCTTACTTGCTTTCTATCCCTATTCTCTTTATACATATATATATATATATATATATATATATATATATATATATATATTGTTGTTTTATTATAATTGTTGTATGGTGCATCTCTTCGTATCCATGTGTACCGAGTTGACGTATTAAATAAAAGAAGTAAGTTTATTGGAACTTAATTACCTAGGAAGAGATTTTCTATGCATCAGGCTGTGAGAGCTACAACGTCTTGTGTGAAGGCTGGTGATTTCACTTATTTGCCTACACTGAAGTAAGTGGATTGAGATTCGAACCCAGAACTAATCATTAGCTAGAAGTAAAGTGTTAAAGCCAGCAGCCATATATATATATATATATATATATATATATATATATATATATATATATATATATATATATATATATATACTTACACCAGTGAGCCCCATTGGCCAACAGTGTGATCTCATTCAAGACACTTCACTTCAATTGTCGATTTCACTTAATTTTTGCTGTCTTCAAAACTTCGTATACAAGAGGTGAAGGATACATGACGGATTATGTTTCACCGTTTAACTCCCTACTAACAAGTTTCAAGCCACTGACTGGTTCTTGGTGTGGAACGGGGAACGCCAACTATAAGCAGTCTACACCTCCCCCACTTGACTAGCTCAAGCCAAATAGACAAAAAACTTAACGGACTATTGACTACAGCTTTTGATTTGGCTCTTTTTCAAAGTAATCCTACGTTAACTATTATTGCTCGACAAGACAGGCAATGGTTCGATGATATTAGCAACACATGGTCATAGGCGCCCTCAATCGATTCAACTTTACAACCTCATCGACTGATATTCCCTAACCTCACAAAATTGCTGATCATATTATTATTATTATTATATAAGCTTTATTCCAAATCAGTACTTGTGATACAGAATGGAATTCTCAGCATTTTACTACAATATTGCATCCAGTTTTTTGTTTACATTAACAATAAATAAAGTTCTACATAGTTTAAAGATTATCTCAACAACATATTAGTATGTCGGTAGCAAAGCCAAAATTAAAATGTTTGAAGGTGTTACAAAAGTAGATACTACTAGCATATTTACTGGCGTAAGCGATAGCAAAATGGTCGAGATATACAGAGTGTAAAAGAACGAACAAGAATGTTTTAAGTAGAGTTTGCAAGGAAGAGAGAAACAAAACAGCACATAACAAAAATAAATACAGAATGAAGAGAGAGAAAACGTTGTACCTATAAATGATGTGAGTTGGAAAGACGAGATTCATTGGTTCTAGTGACTATTTAATAAGTTAAAGGTTTCATGCCTGATGCATTCTTTATCACACAGAACACGGGCTAGGTAGGGTATGGATGAGTTTTTGTACTTACTAGTGCGAGCATATAGTTTCCTATATAGACTTCTTGTTTTCCCTGAAGAGATACATGGGGAGAGTTGTGAGTGTAGAGGGTGTTGTGAGTCAGATAAAATGGACTTCGCCCATTTTTCACATGAGTCCATGTGCCTGTCCACCAGAATGTTAACAAGCTGGCTAAGTGGCAAGCTGCTTACCCTGCTGACAACCTTTAACATCCTACGTAATAAGGTATAGTCTTTCTTCAATAGCCCAGGAAAGACTAAGGGGGAGCAATAGAGAATTATAGGCAGAATACGGGAGTTAACAAATTGTAGTAGTAAGGGTTGGGTTACACCAGAATGTCTTAACTTCTTGATGTAGAAGGTAAGACGGTATATTTTCTTGGAAATCGTCAAGATATGAGACGACCAGGAAAGATCAGAAGATAGAGTGACGCCTAGGTATTTAATTTCCGACTTAGTTTCTATTTCAGTGCCATCTATGTTGCACACCTCGTGAGCGCTAACCAGTTTGTTTAGGTCAGATTTATGCCTAAAGGTGAAATTAACTGTTTGGCATTTGGAGGGGTTTAAGGTTAGACCGTTTTCCTTGGACCATTGGCTAATTTCTGATAAGAAGCCATTTAGTTTAGAGCAGTCATTTTGACATTTGACAGGTAAAGATACAGTTAGGTCATCAGCATATTTGACAAAGTTAATATCATTTGAAGACGGTAGGTCATGTAGGAAGAATGAAAAGAGAAGTGGGGAGAGTACAGCACCTTGGGGGACACCAGATTCAGTGAGCACAGCAGAGGAGGATTGACCTTTGTATACGGTGTACTGCATTCTGTTTGAAAAGTAGGAATGCAACCACTTAGTGACCCAAGACTCGGTTTGTGTCGTGGAGAGCTTATTTAGCAAGAGACTTCTAGGTACAGAGTCGAAAGCAGAAGTGAAGTCAAGAAACGTGCAGCGGACATATTTGGCACCTTTGTCTAATGATGAGACAATACTGTTGTGTAAGACGGCTGCAGCGTCTAAAGTACTCCTACCCTGTCTGTAGGCAAATTGTTTGGGGTCTTCGAAGCTTTTAAGGGAGGGTTCGAGTTTAAGAAGTATTAGTTTTTCCATGAGCTTTAGAAACGGGGAAGTGATGGCGATGGGTCTGAACTTTACGTTCTTGCTATTTCCAGGTTTAGGGACAGGGACTATTTTAATGTCTTTCCATGGAACAGGTACAACGTTTTCGGAGAAAGAAGCATTTAGTATATTAGTTAGAGGAGAACATAAAGCATCTGCACATTGTTTTAGGACATATGCAGGTATGCCATCAGGGCCAAGACTATGTGAGGGCTTAAGAGTTTTAAGACATTTCAAAACATCGAGAGTATTGAAGTCCTGGAAGTTATCAGCTACAAGATTGGTAACATTAGGAGTGGTTATGGTAGAAGGAGAGCGTATAAAAGACAGATTAAGAGCATTAACATCACAAGAGGGAAAAACATTACATCGCTTACTATTGCCAGTAATTTCATTGAAAAGTTTCCACATGCTGTTTGGAGATTTGCATGATAAAAGTGTTTGGTTATAGATAGCATTAAGATTCTTGATTTCAGATTTGATTTGAGCGTTTATCTTTTTAAGTCCTAACTTGTCTTTGCATTTATATAACATTTCTTTTTGCCTGCGAAGTTGTTTGAGATGGGGTGACGAGAAGCGGTCGAGGCGTTTGAACAGTGTTTGTTTGGGAGAAAGAACACAAAACACCTCTGTTCAAAGATAGCTATAGCCTCTTCGAGTCATTCAGTTTCAATGACTATATACCTTACAATCACAAAGAATGACATATCGAAGTGCTGTGCAGTAGACGCGTCCCTTGTTCGATAGCCGGATATCACATCTACGCCAAAGATTACGTAAATACAGCATATGCGCCATGAAATAGGTGTTTCACAAAAGTTATGTCAAATGAAATATAAAAAAACAGCTGTAATCATGCATACAGCTAACGCGAAAGACAACACCACTTACTTTGTATTCTTTATGACGATTCTTCAACAGATCTAAACCGGAAGGAGTAGTTTTAGGATTGATATAATCAAGTACAGCTTGACGAACGTCTAATGGTGGCTGCTTATCAGCCTTTACAATGGTATTATCATTCCCAACACTTTTTAGATTATTACCACTTGAAGGTGGATTTATTGATGACTGGTAAACAGTTTTAAAGAAAAGAAATAACAAAAAATCAAAATATTGTCATTTTTTTTAAGTAACTATTTAATGAAAATTATTCCGTCAAGTAAAACTTCTGGAGTCAAGATATCTAGTAAAAGAATTGTAAAATCCATTCTAATTTTTAGTTTCTTTCTCTCTCTTCTAACTGATAGACAAACAACGAGGTGAAGTTAGTTAGGTACAAAGAATCCGATGAAGAAGACAACTGCATTCTGTGAAAGTAGGGGACTGTGCCTGCACCACCTGGAGAAGTATAGCCACGACAACATATATTTTGTAAGCCGAAGGTCACCACTGCTTACGTAAATAAAAGAATATTTATTATTATTATTTTATCCTTTAATTCCTAGAGGAACATTGAGCTTCAGCTGCGAATCTCCATTGCCTTCTGTTTTCTGCCAACTTTTTCACCCCGCTCCAAGTCTGCCCACATGCTTTCATCTCCTCCTCGCATGACCTCCTACAAGTCACCCTTGCACTGACGACCAACTCGCCACCCGCTTCCCTTTCGGGTTCCACTCGAGCAATGGCTTGTCTAGTGATGTCACTCACTTGATGGTTTGTTTCCTTAGAGTATGACTAGCCAATCCATCTCCATTTCTTCCTGCCTATTTTTTTCACAATCGGTTCCTGCCAGGTTGGTTCGCTCATTGCCAGAGATCCCACCCTGTTGCTGATCTTTTCTGACCGGCCATCTGATCTTGAACAAAGTACTGAGCGAAGACAACTGTTAATGAAGGTCTGAAGTTTGTTTGAGACGCTCTTTATGACGCGCAGTGCAAGTCTCTGATCCATATAGTGAGTAGCACTGACTGACTTCACATTGGAATTGAAAATCCGGATGTTATTTTTGATGATGAGTGATGCTGACCTCCACACAGACTTAAGGGCAATGAAAGCCTGTCTTGCTTTTCCGATTCTGGCTTTGATATCCTCGTCAGTTCCGCCTGTAGTTGAAACGATACTTCCCAGGTAGGTAAAGGAGGTTGTTTCTTTCAGGTTCCTCCCATTTATGCTGATACACTGATATTGTATTCAGAAGATAACAGTGACCAAAAAATGAAGACAGCGTAGCGTGGTGACAGCTCTCCGTATCTTTTTTTTCATGATGAATGCTGTTGACTTCCACATAGACTTGAGATTATTGAAACCTTGTCTTGCTTTCCCAATCCTCACTTTGATATCCTTGTCAGTTCCGTCCGCCTGCAGTTGATATGATGCTTCCTATGAAGGTGTGTAGGTAAGAGAGGTTGCTTCTTTCAGATTTCTCCCATCTATCCTGGCTGACTGTTATTTATTTATTTATTTTTTTGATTACAGCTTGATTCCACACTGTATTTTTCGTACAAGTATGGAATTTTTAGCATGAATATCGGTAGCCCAAATTTCACAGCCCGACCATAGATATCAGGTGTGCGTCGGCAGGGGATCGAACCTCGGACCATGTGCATGGTCGGCGAGAGTCCTAACCACTGTGCCACCGACGCACAGTTGCTGCTAACCAGAAATCTTCATCACTTGGGTCAAATTGAGTAAGTCCAACAATACATACAATTATAGACATTAGATAGTGTTAAACAGTCTCACGAAATGCCAAACAGACAGTTATAGGTATCATCAGCCAACAAGACTATATCCACAGATTCAGTGCTCGAAAGTTAAATAACTTCAATAAATTCCACAAGTTCTTGGCAAGGGGCGTCACAGAAATAAGAGTTTTACGAAACCGCGCAAATATAACGTCGTAATATATATATATATATATATATATATATATTAAATTATTTAAACAATCAATGAGCGTGTGATTTTCGTTCACATTAAACGACATGAAATAGAATGTCCAAATGTATGTATAATATTCTGTTGCTAATGAAGCATCGAACTGTGGGAATATGTGTGAATAACATTCCGTTGAAACATACTGTCTGTATCACCCCACCACAACACTTATAATAATGTTGTCCAACAACTGAGTACATGCACCAGTGGTTCAGGGGCAGGTAGTGCTCGCCAAATACCCAGTGGTCTGGCGTTTGATTCTCGACCCACGCCCTCCTGAATGTCGCTTAGCCGGTAGGCAGTAAGCGTGAAGAAGAGGGGAGGCTGGACTTGAAGCTGGTAGCCCTAACCTTATAAGACAAACACCAATGCTATTGAAACTTTAGGGCTCAAACCTGAAGCTCATTAATCTCGCGTGAACGCAAAGGAATTGTCCGAGTTGGTGTTACTACTACTTAATCAGCTCCTCAAATTAGCGAATAAATCAAGAAAAGCTGCAAAACCCCAACCCTCATCTTGAAAGTTTAATCTATGGATAAATAAGTCGCATCCTCAAAAGTATTACAGCGAAACAGAAAAAAAAACCAGCGTAGAAATTACCACAAAATTGTAGTATTTAGCCATAAAACAAAGGTGGGAAACGAATGAACACAAAGTATCAAACACAAAAGAGAGCGAATGAATATGGGAAATATTCAGAGGCTTAAAATTAATTAAGGGATAACGAGATGTCTGAATCTGCATATCTGAGGGCCGGTGATAATGCTCAATTACCGAAGCTGAAGTTAATGGAGTGGGACTCGAACCTACACACCCCATCATTGGCTGAAAACCCAATGCTTAAGCCAATGTGTCAATGCACAAATTTCAACAAAAAGTTACAATATATCTGTAAAAAAGGTAGAAAAGGATTTTATCGTATAAAAATATACGCGAATCATTATTCAACGAATACTTAGAAAATCTTAGCCAGACACAGAAGTCTACACCCTGCAGAATAAGCCATAAGAACACCAAAAAGATATATATAGCAAAGGTCATCAGTTTAAAATATTAACTGAATCTGGAAATCACTTGATTTTTCGCTAACTTCATGCAATCTCATCATCCATAAAACTCTTGAGAAACAGTAAGAAGAGTGTATAACGCAGAGCTTAGATAAACAGAAAACGTTATTTAGATTCAGTATAACTCACTGGATTAAAACCTATCGTAAATGTAGATTATTCCAAGCTTACATTCCACATGAATACATCAAAAATAAAAGTTCACAAGTAAAACTATTCCTGTTCTTCTTAGGATACCTGGAACAGACGAAGCATTAGTGCCTTGTGATCGCAGAGCCCGAGGGATAACTGCTTGAAGCTGGCTATACGCACGCTCCGTTAGAAGTGGTTTCTGTACATGCATCCGTATATAGTATGCCTTATGTTCAGCTACGGACGGCCACAACGTAAGTCGGGGTGTGATATTTTCAGCGTCGATCTTTTCTAACCGAGTCCATCTCTCCACAGGAGAGGGAGAAATAGCATGACTAGCGTGCTGGTTATCCGAAGGAAACGCCTTACTGATGTTACACATCCCTGTGTATCTTTGTTCACAAAACTCCCAACATAGTGTAAACAACTTACACTGTGATTGTAGAGCTGCCTTTATTTAGTCTTAGCCCAACCCCACTATCCAAACAACCTTTCTGGTATGACTGAACTTGCTGAAACACTTAAGTTCCAGCCAGTTCAGTTCGTTGTGTCATTGAAAAAATTGTCGACGCGCGATCATCATATCAAGCTATTATATTTAATGTACAAAACTTGTGGAACTTTATCACATAAAATTCACTCTATCATGGAATTATAACACGTATATCTCTGTAATTCTGAATCCCCTTACCATATTGGAACCAGAAACATCATTCGTAGTAAGTTCAGTTTTTTGATGCGGTGAATCAGAAGTGTTTTTCTTATCATCATCATTAAGAAAATCCTTCGCGTTAATGCCCATCATGTCTAGTTCATCAGAACCACCAGCACCACCACTACCACCACCGCCGCCAGACAACGGTTGATTATCATTCTCCATTGATTCGACAAGTTGAGCAAGTAAAAGCTCATCTTCATCATAATTTGTTTTACCCTATAATTAATCAAAATAAGTAAATAGCTTGATGGTTTGATGGAAAATTCTTAAACTAATTCAGAAACTTGACTGACTAGACACACAGGACACACTAGTTAACTTACTTAACACCCAGAGTGTCCAATTAAAATCAAAGTACAAAGAACACTTTTAAACTGGAGTAATTTTTATATACGGATAAAATTTGGGCACTGAGATAGAGAGCGTATAATTCCATTATTGGATGCAAAAAAAAATTTTAACTTTATAAAGTGTTACAGAGTGTTACTGTGTGTTTATGTGTCTGTATAACTGTGTAATACTGTGTGACCTTATCAACAACAACAAACATTTTATTCCATAAAGGAGTACTTTTCCTCGAATAGTTAGTTTACACACAGTGTGTTACCTTTTCTAGCCATTGTAATAAATAGCTATTGACGGAGCCATATATTCCACTTACATTTATTAACATTTACGCTCGGTAACCTGGAACAGATTTTCCATGTGCCAGGCTAAAAGCCACACACACACACTCTTTTGGGGGAGTGATAGGGTTAGTGATGCTACCCAGTTGCCCAAACTGAAATAGGGATCAAGGGTAGAATCTGTGATCCTTCTACTACAAAATCAAGTGTTTAACCAATTAGCCTCATCTCCACCTATTTATATTCAATAACCAGTGTGAGAAAATAATTTCTAAATTAGTGATTCCCTAATGTTACGTTTTGAGATTTTTCAGTCTTTTTCCTGAATGAACGAACTTACATAATCCATCCACTTGATTCTTCATGACAAAAGTGGGCTTCAGGAAAAGCATTTGATACTATTCTTAACTAACTAGCTGAAACTTCTCAATTTAATGATGGTACTTCACTGAAAACCTCCATATAAAACCTTTCACAACACATATCTAAGAACTATTTACAAAAAAAAACACTGAATTAAATGTATACATATATGGTTGATTAGCCATAAACAGAATGAAATGTCAATCCTCAGTTCCTCCGTACAGTGAACACAAAACAGTGAATAACTCAGATTCGACTAAATTTGCTTCACTGAAAATCCCCCCCGCGACAAGCTCTACTTACCTGAGTAGAAGACAAAGTTGTATGCGGAACCGTAGTATGTGACGGATTTTCTTTCAGTAAATCTAATAATTCTTGTTCAAGATCATCATTAGTAAAGTCATCTTGGTTGACATTGTCATGTGCGTTATCAATTTTAGGAGAAAGCCACTGCATTGTGAAAAATACAAGTTCAAACAATTCTATCACAGTTGAAACGTGCAACTTTGAGAAGTTTTGCACGAGTGTTTATTTTGCCTTAAAAAAAACACTCATGGGGGCGACGGGGTTGGAGTTGATTGTGAAAAGTGAGTGGAGTAGTAAACAATCGATTAACGTAGTATCTACAAAAACAATAAATTGTGAAAAAAATTGCACAATCAATGTTCTGAACCAAATAATTACTACATGTTTTATAAGCGTATATATCTAATTACCACCACTGCTTACTGAAGTATTCATAATCCTTCAGCTTTATCGTTAACCGGTTAAAACTAAGTGGTTGCCCAGAAGACATTTTCGCTGCACTTCAAGCTATTAGCCATGCACAGTACGGTATGACATTACCACCCATGTAAGTGGAACAGTGGAACTCGAACTCAGGATCCACTGACTGAAAACCATTCTCCCATACTATTGTATCACAAAACATTGGGTGTTAGGGCAGCAAAATCTCTTCTTGACTGGATCCCAGTAGATAGGCGTATAAGCTGCGAACCGTCTAAACAGGTCCGTTAGAAAAAGGAAAGACAGCATTACTCATCGTTGTATTTCCATAGTCTCCGCTTACGCCCCAACCGACTGCACTTCGGATGAACTAAAGGATGATTTCTATCAGTAACTGCCTAGCTCACTGCCAAAAGCAAAACACTCAGATATAGTTATTTTAGCAGGCTACTTCAATGCCCAAGTAGGGAAGTTGTGCCAGACTGGGAGGTATGTAGGTGGTACGTACGGAGTTCCCTCATGACGAACCGACAATGGTGATCGTCTTCTACAGTTCTGTTCAGATAATCATTTGTTCGTAGTCAGCACTAACTTTAGGCACAAAGAGAGACACTGCACAACCTGGCGACCTCCATCACCAAATCAACGCTGGACTCAGATAGACCACATAGCCATAGGGTATCGTCGGTGAGGGTCAGTAGAAGACTGCTGCTTCTTCTGGTACACGTGTGTAGACTCTGATCACATCCTGGTTTGCGTACGTTTATGCTTACGGTCAAATGGTCATAAGGTGCTGTTGACAGTGAAGTAGTTACGTTACCAACTAAATCAAGACACTGAGTCACTATTCAAGGAAGAATCAGTGAAACGAGTATCTGAGATCAACAGCAAGAGCCCCCTCTCCGCTGAGGAAGCCTGGCACAATACATAGTTAGCCGTAGACTCAGTTGTAAAAGCTGTTAATAACTTATGAGGAGCGAAAGCTGCTCAAACGAAAACTAACAAGAAGTCTTCACAGTGATCGTGAAAAGTGGTGGGTGACAAAAGCGAAAGAGATGGAAAAGGCATCGGTGATAAGTAACACCAGATAACTATTTGGACTGATCAGGGAAACAGGTGGTAAGAGGCAAATAATAAGTGAAACAATCTCTGAGAAAAATGGCATCATAATTAGCTCTCAGGATAGATGACTAGAATTTTGAAACGAACACTTTCAGAGGGAAATTTAACTGACTTACAGCCACGCTCAACTTACCCAACACCTCACTGAATGAAATATGAACACAGGTCCTCCGTCCCTAACTAACGTTGCGAAAGCCGTCACTAATCTGAAGCGAGGCTAAGCAGCGGCACCTGTTGAAACCATTCCTGGGGTGTTTGAGGACGGTGGAGACAGTTTACTGTCTGCGTTAACTAGAGTATTATGCAGCGTCTGGGAATCAGAGGTAGTCCTGCCGGGACTGGTGTAAGTCACTGATTATCCCGATACACAAGAAGGAAAACAAGTCTTCCTATGATAATCACAGGGGGATCAGCTTGACTAATGTGGTATCTAAAATTCTAGACTCAATAATCATGCGTAGGCTAAGCGGTTCTTGGGAGGAACAAAGACGAGAGAGCCAGACAGGCTCTAGACCAAGAAGAGGACGTTCTGATTGTATCTTCACCCTTCAACAGATTCTGGAACGGAACATAGACATACTTACCGACGTCCAACAATCGTCGTATTTCTTGACCTAAAGGCGGCATTCGATTCCGTCAACCGAGAGGTACTATGGTGATGTTTGACTGTGAAGGGAATGACGAGAAAATACATTGCACTGATCGAGGCACTGTACTCGAACTCGCGGGCTCGTTTCGCATATGCCAGGTCATGCCATTTCTGACATAGACGTGATATCCGACTATCGATCAAAGGACGTGTATACTGCTCAACAGTCTGCTCTGTTTTCCTTTATAACCGTGAAACCTGGCCATCGAAAGTAGAAGACATGAAAAGCCTGACAAGTTGTCTTTGATCATAGGTGTCTGCGTTGTATCTCCCGTGTTAAGTGGTATAGTGGGGTGAGAGCAGTATTGAAGTGAGGCATCGGTTGATTGCTAGGTAAGTAGGGAGGAGAAATCAATCGACGAGGTTGTGAAGTTACATCGATTGAGATGGTTAGGACATGTGTTACTCATGCATGAGGTCTAGCTATCTCCTTCTTCGATGGGTAGTGTTATCTGACACCAAATGGATGGGTCAGGTTGGAAAAGAAGCGGTGGTGGTGGTGGTGGTCGAAACAAAACATGTCCATCAGTCAATGAAGAAATCCACAACAGTTAGTTTAAGCCAGTTACGTAGGAAGGTGTAGACTTCCTGGTTGGGGTCCTCGGGATGGTATAAACCAATGGCTGGAGACAATTTGTGATATGGCTCAAATCGTTCTGAATGCATAGCGGAGATGCATCCACTTCTTGTGATTTATACTATCCAATAAGAGTGTATTGCTCATCCATATTACTATTTTTGGTTTGCCCGATATTTCTGTTTGTAATCTGTGTTTAGAATCTTGCCTACTCTCTTCCCTGGCTTTGTGTGCTACGTGGTGTGGTAACTCAAACTGCTGCACATCTGTGCTCAGTTCTACGTTGAAACCAGTCACTCACTGCATCACACCTATATGCTGACCACTTTACCAAACCCAAGCAAACTACAGTCTCTTACACATTTCGCATCAACAGTGATTTCATGAACTGAAACTATTTCTCATTTCCGGCACACATAGCCATTCATCCTAACCTACTTAAGTTAAAATTGCACGACGGATCTGAAAGAGGCTGAGACACAAACTTCTTAGTCACCCTAAGTTTGAAGTTTACCTTATTAGCTAACTTCCTTGTCTCAACTGGGATTTCTCAGTCAGTAAGAATTATCAGTTTAAGGTATAGGTGGGTAAAATTAAAAGATCAGAACTCATCAAAACAAATTAACTACCGCAAGTCAGCAATACGATACTTAAATTTTGAGGGAGAGGTGAAAATAATTACGGAATTCAAGATCAGTTAATTTATAGGGGTCAGTAACAAGTTATTACATAGTCAAGTAGTTGAGCACAACAAAGAAACGAGCTGCACAGACTTCTTCTGGACACAGATTTGGCTTCTTCAGATGAATTCTGATTGCCACTGTGTATGGAGTGGTGATACTCGTCGATCATGTGGAAAGTTGGTTGGGTGAAATGGGATATCCAATATTGACGAGATGAACTAGTATGCAGCTGCGTATGGCGTTGTTTGGACCTTTATTAAACCAAAATGGGAGATATTCGGAGATTCAATCATGAACTTGCCTCATTGTATGACCAATGTAACTAGCTAGGTTGAAGAATTTAAACTGGTGAATACACATAGAGGAGGCGAAACAACGAAGTTTGTCTTCATTTCTTGAACTGTGTATTAATTGGCTTATGAATTAACATCATAACTTAGCTGAGTTAAAAGTCGTTTTGAAGGCCCTTCTCAGACATTGTGATGAAATTTCACTACTGACATCTGCAAAATTGCAATCTTAGGAGCACTGAATTTTCGAGAACTGTAGGTACTCCGGCGTGTTGACTTGCCAAATCCATGTGTCTGTTCAAAAATTTTGTCGGTTATCAATTCTACTCAGTGGGTCATGAATATTATCAAGCTCTTCGAAGTGTTTCATTTGAGCAAATTACTCTAATCTACTTTACCGAACATCTGACCAAATTACGTTTGTATTAATATAATGTCATATATATTTAAACATGTCTATGCTGGAACATATCAGTTGTACAGGCATGGATAAGCATTATTCAAATTACATAAATTTGTTAAACAATATCTTTTTGTTTTTCATTCATTAAGAAATACAAAAACCTTTATTATAATGAATACATAAATTTGGTTTGTAGTGAATTTATATGGTTGCTGTGCTTTTTGACTATAGTTTGTAGGAACCGCCTGCTAACTAACCATTCAATGCAGCACTAACTAAAAACGAAATCGAGTCATTTTTCCTTCTTTGGTAAGACTTATAACGGGATTTGCCTTATTGACTTCCTCCAATATGTCCGTTGCCTAACTTTCTTTCCACGAAACTATATATTAATCATCAGCATAATGAAAATGAAAATGACTAAGAATTACATCTATATGAGGGCCATTCTGTAGTTTCACCAAAAAAATAATCCACTAGGAGTGGATCTAGTCGCGATCCCATGGTAACACTATCTGATTGTCTATACATCTCTTTATCGAACGGATAATTTACGTTCATGAAACAGAAACTCCTTTGGGGAAGAAACATGAATATCAATCTCTATACCTTCCTTTATCAATGCATTACATATGTAATCCACTGTTTCCATCAATAAGACGTTGGTTAATAAAGAAGACACATTCAACTGGGACTGTGAACATAACTTGTGTTGGTCACATAGGACTTGGATGACATAATGAAGACGATAGTCAAATATCTGATTTCTAAAATTCAACTTGAAAATTGTTTGCTGAGACCCGAGACCTCAGAAAATGATAAATGTAATAGATAAGATACAGATCTTACGGAACAACTTATATCAGGGAATTAAAACGCCGTGGAGCTATGGCATAATGCTCTAAACGTACGACTTCAAACAGTCAAAAAGTGATGTCAGACTAGACAATTTGTGGCTCCTTACCTAATATATACAAAAATGTAAATAGTTGCTGAACAGCTTAATTTTGTTTTCACCCCAAAATTTCTGAAATGTCTCATTCCTTTTTTAAATAATTCTCCGATTTGACGAAATACTCGTAAGGTATGATATCAATCTATTTTTCTTTATTTTATGTTGTGATCAGAAGCACGACAACTTTGAGCAATGCAGTGCAATGCAAAGTTTTACACCTATTTGACAAATTGCTTAGAAGTTTATTTAGTATATGCTTTCCCTGTTAATAGAGTTAACTATTTTTTTACCTGGTAGTGGAATACAAAACCACGAAGATCACTTCTGGTGCCATAAGTATCAGTCCTTATTTGAGTTAACTTTGCATTTACAGCTGATTGATTGTATTGGACCGTAGTGTTTAGTTTTTGCTGACATTTTGGCTCTTAGCACGAAGGTTTCGACGGCGTCTCAAGATTGACAGCTCAGATACCGATGACCCTGCCAGCATATTTGTGAACCCGGACGACTTCCAGTGAAACAGCAAAAAGCATATATATATATATATATATATATATATATATATATATATATATACATATATATATATATATATATATATATATATATATATATATATACATATATATATACTTGTAACACGGGCAAATTCATTCGAGGCACAACAAGGGTTACCGAAACACCCTTACACAAGCTGCTATCAGTTTGGGCATCATTCTCAGGATGGTGACACTTACCTATTCCCGAAAGAATGAGAACTCTGAGATGCCCTCGCTCGCAGAAACGACACAAACACAGTCGCACAATGTCTTCAATGAGGGAAAACAAAATATCTGCCTTGAGAAGCAAAGAGGCTAATCACAGCAAGTCTAATCTCCGACAAATCTGTCACTTTAACTGAATTCCAAAGGTCACCTCCTAAGATGACCTTGATCTCACCATATGCATTATTGGTAAGTTACTCCCTACATTTAATCAACATGGTATAGGCCCAAAGGTTAACGCTGATCATCCAAGGGAAGTACGGAATATGAGATTGGTATCCTCTGGATGTTGAGAAATACTAGCTACAGATTATTGTTGATGTCCTCAAAATCGTTCATAATGGCGCGGATTCACTCACTCTTCGTTCCCACGGCATATACCATACTTTCTCCCTAGCATTGCTGCTTACTACATTTCTTCCAAATCCTTTTTTCCGTTATGCTTCCTACCATTATTCAGATGTTTACTGGTACACATGTATATACTGGAGGAATATATATAGTATTTTCCCGCCTTGTGAAAAGTTGCACGAAATTTATTATATAATGTAAAATTTGAGTTCTAACACTAAACGCTACGAAAAACAAGGCTGTCAAGTCACCCAACATATGATGAAAAAGCAACATTACCCTACTCGGCGGACACCACCTAGGAGATAAAGTAGCGTCACTTTTGTTAACGCCGCGCATAATGTGGAAATATCAAACTGGATTGCATATAAAATGTGTGAGACAAAGTCGTTCTGTATCGACAAAGTCACTGCTTCTTTTGTCAGAAAATAAGGGAAATAATTTTTGGCGCTACTTTTGGCCACTGTTGTACCATTAAATACTATGTTCATGAAAATGAAGTCTAGATAAAACGTATTTTTGCCTAATTCTATGAACAGTTATCCTCTGTAGCAGCTCTTCGGATTCACCAACCCCCAAGTTCTCGATTTTGCGTATAATTTCACTGAAAAACCCTGAAGTGAATGATATTTCACGAATTTCTTATTTGCAAGATAATAGTTACTTCTGCCCAGCACAGTGATTTGGTAAAGAAACAATTTTCCAGCACTTCCCCATGGAAGCTGTGAGAAATACAATAATTCTATTCCTGAACAGAATTTTTCCCCATGGAATTACTGTAAATAGCTAAATACTCTGTTTCTACTCAGACATACCTGGGATGAAAACGCCTTTTCACAGCCTAAAGAAAGAGACTAGAAATGTAAATTATGCTTATTTTTTCCCATTCCTTGCATCATAGCTTCGAAGTTTCAGTAATGACGCTCTTGTTTCCACGTCGTGGAGTTGCTAGTCCCACACACTCAATTTCCTCCCTTCCGAGATCCCTATCACTTGGCAAACTGGGTAGTGCGTTGGTGGGGTATAAAAGTGCGTTAATGAGAAGGTTATTGTGAAGTCGATAAGTGATATTTCAGTGAGAAGTGAATTCAAAGATCCGTAAGATTATAACCCGTAGTACAAATCGACCTGTAAGATGTGTCACTAATTTCTGTATGGCCCATTGGTAGCACCCTGAATAGAAAGCTGGACAAGTTTGTAGATAGTAGCAGCAAAAGCATTCTTTTTAGAATATCTATCTGCATAACAATAATTTTTTAGCAAGGATCTAACCTCATTTTTAATTCTCCAACTGTCAAAAACGCATGTTGATGTCCTAAAGATCAGTGCGTTTCACATTTGTGACCATAATATCTGGTGATCAGCATGCGTCACCATCCCTCCTTTTTTGCTGAAAAGCTCTGAAATTATCTCGCAATAACTGTAGTTGCAACAGTGCACTGCTTGCTATGAGCCCGTCCCAATCAAACATCATAATCATTAGCGTTTCCTTTAGTTCCTAGAGGAATATAGGGCTTTCATCCTCCCATCCCCACTGTGCGCGGCTCTCCGAAAATGTTTTCACCTAGCTCCACGTCCGCTCACATGCTTCCATTTCCTCTTCACACCACCGCCTCCTCCATGTCACCCTCGAACTGACGACCAATTCGCCGCTTCCCACTCGAGAGACAGCCTGACGTGTAATGCCAGTTGATGATCTTCTCACAGTATGGCCAGTCCAATCTACCTCTATTTCTTCCTCCTTATTTCTTGCACAATCAGTTCCTACTACGTTGGCTCACTCCTTGAGATACTTGTGGCTGATCGTTTCTGGCCAGCCATCTGATAATAATAATAATAATATATATTCTCATTTTTTACACGAGGGACGCCAGTTTACAGGCATCATCAATACGATAATTTACACATAATATTAATAAGCATATTTAGTATAGATAATATAATAAGGTACATTTTTTTCCCTTGCTATGTAGGGTACACCAATTGTATAGGCATGCATAAATATTGTTTTAATAATAATAATATATTCCTTCCTGTTTATGCAGGAACATACCTATTGTACAGGCATGGATAAGTTATTATATAAATTACACATAATTTGATGTATAATGGACTTACAGTTTGGTTGTTCTTTCTGTCATTAGAGTCAGTCGGAACAGTCTGCTATAAAGTCTGTTTGTGTAGCACATAAAGAGATATAGAAATATTGTCTTCGGATTAACAAAAAACCCAGACATCAGATGAATGTAATACAAATATCTGGGAAAAATAAAGCTTGAAGTCAATTCTCCTACATAACTTTGTTGTGAACAGCACCCTTGGCTTAAAGATTAATGATGTATTATGTTGGGATCAGTGATGTATTTATCCCATTTTTTCAGCAGTCTTATCGTAGTTTCATAACAGGAAAGAAATTTGATCGTGGAGGCGAAAAATAAATAAGGTCATGTTAAGTTGTTTTACTGCATCAAATGGTGCCGAGGTCGATTCCAGAGTTCTCCATTTGCGCCATTTGTGTCGGCATGGCGGACTGTACTCGTAAGTTGAGTAAGGTGTTGAAAAACTGTTTGAAAACCAGTTGCTTCTTCATTTCAGATCATGAATACTCATTTACACCATGTTCGCCAGCTTCTTTAAATGGTAGAATTGGATCGTTCCTGGAATTTGAGTGATTATGGGATAAATGGTTTGGAATTAATCATAGCAGTTAGAATACAGTTAAACATGCAGAGAAGTACTTTTGATTCAGCAACCGGTGAATTTTTTATTCTCTTCGATCTAGTACCAGAATAACTGCGAACCATTCCATTCAATATGTTGAATAAGGCACGCAGGAGGAGATCATTACCATGGAATGAGTCAGCTTGTTCTGAGATGCAGCTTTCAGCATGTTTTCGTTATATCATAGATATCCTGAGTATTGAGCGAAGACATCTGTTGATGAAGGTCTGTAGTGTGTTTGAGGTGCTCTTCACGACGCGCCAAGTCTCTGATCCGTAAGGTAATAATGATAATAATAATATATATTTTCATTTTTTACATGAAGGACGCCAGTTTACAGGCATCATCAATTCGATAAGTTACACATAGGATTAATAAGCATATTTAGTAAAGATAATATAATAAGGTACATTTTTTTCCTAGCTATGTAGGACACACCAATTGTATAGGCATGTATAAATACTGTTTTGATAATAATAATATATTTCTCCCTGTTTATACAGGAACATACCTATTGTGCAGGCATGGACAAGTTATTATATAGATTACACAGGAAAGTTTGGTTGTTCTTTCTGTCATTAGAGTCAGTCGGAACAGTCTGCTATAAAGTCTGTTTGTGTAGCACATAAAGAGATATAGAAATATTGTCTTCGGATTAACAAAAAACCCAGACATCACTTAAATGTAATACAGATATCTGGGAAAAATAAAGCTTGAAGTCAATTCTCCTACATAACTTTGTTGTGAACAGCACCCTTGGGTTAAAGATTATTGATGTATTATGTTGAGATCAGTAATATATTTATTCAACTTACTTCACATCGCGGTTGAAAATCCGTATCTTATTTTTCATGATGAGTGCTGTTGACTTCCACATAGACTTGAGATTATTGAAAGCTTGTCTTGCTTTCCCAGTCCTCACTTTGATATCCTTGTCAGTTCCGTCCGCCTGCAGTTGATACGATGCTTCCTATGAAGGTGTGTAGGTAAGAGAGGTTGCTTCTTTCAGATTTGTCCCATTTATGCCCGTTGATTGTTGCCTGTTGTCGCTGCTGTTAACCTAGAATCTTCACCACGTCTTCCTTCTCGATGTTCCCCTGAAGTCCTATCTTCTCTGAATGCCTCCTCTGCCAACTTGTTGCTTTTCACCTGCATATCTTGTACTTTGCAGGAAATCAGATACGTATCATCCACGAACTCCATATCGTCCAAGTTCTTCGTGACGGACCATTTCATGCCTGTCTCCTCATCGCTCGCTCTCTGCTCGCTACATTATCCAGTCTGTCCCAACCAGTAAAATTATGGTAAATAGCAAGCAGTTAGCTTTTCTTACTCCTGTCTTCAATTTGAAGGATTTCGCGAGTTTCCAGTCGTGGATTACTTGGAATGCAGTATTGTCGTACAACTATAATAAAGATGTATATTTCAATATAAACATATAAATTTACATGAAAATGCATGCCATTTTTACAGACACAATCTAGTATGATATAATCTCAAATCGTAGATTGTCTACAAGTTAATAATATTTCAACAGCTAAACATTTGATATATATGTATAAACACTCACTGTTTGAACCAGGCCGTATAATTATTGAATTGTACGGTAGTCCTCCAGGTTGCGCGAAAAATCGACTACGTTTCGTTCTCAACCCGTGGTCGTAGGCATACGATAACCAACCAACATCGATGTAAGTATAACGTTTACATGGGATTGAAAGCTGATTTAGAAAAGTAAAAGTGCTAGGATGAATCATTAAAGTGCAATGAAATAAGTAAGTGCAATATATCAATAATAAATGCATTTATGAAGGAAATACATTGAGAAACTAATTAACCCCTAGGCTGACAACGTTCATTTGCAATGTATAATGCTACCCATATAGGTCTTACTATCATGATGTCGACTTTTGGTTTCAATACGGTTATTCTCAAGCCAGTTGTTTTTATTTCATACCTATTTCATACCCTACAGAAAATAGGGATAAGGCTATAAGATGTTACGTTCAATGGAATATAATGAGGATCAAGTAAGGACGTTATCAGAAAATGAATGAGATGAGACACTGTGAAGTGGTATTCAAAGATCCGACAGTGGATGGCAAGTTAATTTATAAGATGCCCCATAAATCTGTGCAGAGGCTACGTGGTCACATCTCAACAATGGGCGGAGCGAATGGTATATGTTTAAAGGCAGAAGCATGATCTGTCTAGGCGTTCATTATTATCTTTTTCGAGATAAGGATCTGAGCCCTCGTAAAATATCTCGAGCCGTCGAATTATATATTGCTGGCGACTGGCCCTATTCAGTTAGGTAGTTACCTGGGTTCCAGTGGGAAGTCACGACCAGTAGGGTGCAGCAGGTCAGGTGTGAGGACAAATACTCGCCGGTGACATTGGTTAGCGGTCGCGCTGTCGTGAATCGGCAGAAGTTAGAATTCAAGGACTATTGGATCGGGTCCCAGTGGCTTAACGGTATGCGAGCTCGCCTTGTAACCGGAAGGTCCTGGGTTCGAATCCCGGTGGGTGCGTACTGGTGAAGAGTTCCAAACTAGGACAACGGAAACAGCTGTCCAGTACTCCCTGGCAGGTTTTCCAATGGTTCTCCAACTAATGTCAGCTCATGTTGAAATCCTGAAACCAATCAAATCCCTACAAACCAACACCTGTATATTGTTGTTCCTGCGGAAAGGATGAGATGTACAATTGTTGGCATCACCCGTAGTTGCAAAGTAGTTTCTAAATCCTACCTTTATTGACGATGCGCTATCGAAGCCTTTTCAAAGTCAATAAAGTTGAGACACAGTGCTGACTGCCATTCCAAACTCAGTATTGTTGCGATTTGATCGATACATGATTTGTTCCTCCTGAATCAAGACTGTTTACCATTTAGGGCAGCTTACTATTTTGCTTGGGATGGACGGGAGCATAATACCGCGCCAGCTCCTATATCGACAGTTTGGATAAGTAGACTTTCTTCAATCCTCGGGTACTTTGCTCTCTTTCCACACCTCCTCCGGAAATGGCGTCATCAAATCCGCTGATGTCTCTGGGTCCATTTTCAATGCTTCTGCTGGGATTCCATCTGGTCCTGCTTCTTTTCCAGCTTTCAGCATCTTGATTGCATTCAGGACTTCTGATTTCGTCGGAGGATCGATGTTCACTGGTAGTTCTGCTTCCACTGTTGGTATTGTTGGGCGCGTTGTAGGTGGCGGTCGATTTAGAAGTCTTTTGACGTGTTCAGCCCAGTGTTTCCTTTGCTCCATCTCTTTAGTGATTGGCTTTCCATCGTTATTCTTTACTGGCTTAATTTGTGTCGAACTTTCGCCCGATAGAAACCTAGTTGTTTGGTAGAGTATGGTGAGGTCTCCTTTGCCTACAGCTTGTTCTGCTTCACTTGCCACAGCTTCATAATATTTTCCTTTATCTTTCTTCACACTCTTCCTCACTCTTTTGTTCAGTGCATTCTAGCTTGCATTGAACTCCTGTTTTTGTTGCTCGTCGGTGCACTGGATAATCTTTTGTTTCCCTATCCTTCTGTCATCTATTAGTTTCCAAGTGTCCTTAGTGAGCTACTGTTTGTCCTGTCTCTTCTTTCTGCCTAGAACTTACATGCAGGTTTGACTCCACACCACTTTCATGCTGTTCCAGTGCTTTTCAACGCAGGTCTCTTAGCTACTGTTTATTTGTATCTCCGCATCTTTCCTTGTGTTTGCAGTGAAAATGTGCTTTGTGGCCTGATCCTTCAGTTTTTAGTATTGAAACTTGCATGTATATTGTCTGCAACTCCTGTTTCTGTGAAAGCTTCTCATTTGATTTAGAATGTTCTTTGCACGAGATAGTAGTCTGAGCCAACGTCTGCTCCCCTCCTTACTTTTGAGTCCAGTAAGCTGCTTCTCCACCTCCTTGATCACCATTGGGATGAAGTCATTTTGGCTTCGGTCCGTCCGTCTGGTGACACTTATAGATATCCTTGCAATTGTATACGCTCCCGCCAGTCACTGGTTCATTGAAGGTTCAGAAGTCTGAGAAGAGTTCTCCATTTTCATTCATTTCTCCGAGAGCTTCTCTACCCATGATGAGTTCCCTTCGTGTGTTCTCTGTTCCCAGTTTAGCAGTGATGTCTCCCATTAGTATTTTGATCTCACGGACTGGAGTATTGTCCATTGTTGCCTGTAGTTGTCTGTAGATCTCTGCTTTCAACTCGAGGTGTGTGTTGTTTGTGGGTGCATGGCATTGTATAACTGACACTTTCCTTCTTTTGGAGTTGAATCTGGCGGTCATTATCCTGGGCGAGATCGCCTCCTATTGCATCAGGGCCTTTGTAGCCATTGGTGACATCATGATAGCCATGCCCTCGTTGTTCGTATAGCTCTCTTCTGGGTGACCGGAGTAGATCGCTGACTCACCCGTTGACAATTCGGTGAGTCCATTCCCATTCCATCTGCTTTCACATATTCCTAGTACTTGAGTACTGTATTTTCTCATCTCCTTCGCGATCTGTCAGCTTTGCCAATCTTGTACATCGTAGGGACATTCCATTTCCCCACACAGACTTTATCTTTTGGCTCAAAGAGATTCATCGTGCTAAAGTTTCTGTAGCAACTTTGTGTACACGGTGGGGTTGCTAACCTCACGCCTGAGAATGGAATTGTTACATTAAGATACAGTTTAGAGAGAAGCGACCTTTTGGGTTGCTCCCCTCAAAATCGGAAAATAACGGACAAAACAATCAGAACAACACCAGCAAAAGGAAAATAATTCAGAGCAAAAAGGGCAAAAAGCCACAACAGCGATACAATACAACAACATGCAATACAGTTAAGCACAGTTAACTTAAATGATATCAAAACCATAGACTCAATGACTTGGGTCATTGATTAAAACCTATCGTAAATGTAGATTATTCCAAGCTTACATTCCACATGAATACATCAAAAATAAAAGTTCACAAGTAAAACTATTCCTGTTCTTCTTAGGATACCTGGAACAGACGAAGCATTAGTGCCTTGTGATCGCAGAGCCCGAGGGATAACTGCTTGAAGCTGGCTATACGCACGCTCCGTTAGAAGTGGTTTCTGTACATGCATCCGTATATAGTATGCCTTATGTTCAGCTACGGACGGCCACAACGTAAGTCGGGGTGTGATATTTCAGCGTCGATCTTTTCTAACCGAGTCCATCTCTCCACAGGAGAGGGAGAAATAGCATGACTAGCGTGCTGGTTATCCGAAGGAAACGCCTTACTGATGTTACACATCCCTGTGTATCTTTGTTCACAAAACTCCCAACATAGTGTAAACAACTTACACTGTGATTGTAGAGCTGCCTTTATTTAGTCTTAGCCCAGCCCCACTATCCAAACAACCTTTCTGGTATGACTGAACTTGCTGAAACACTTAAGTTCCAGCCAGTTCAGTTCGTTGTGTCATTGAAAAAATTGTCGACGCGCGATCATCATATCAAGCTATTATATTTAATGTACAAAACTTGTGGAACTTTATCACATAAAATTCACTCTATCATGGAATTATAACACGTATATCTCTGTAATTCTGAATCCCCTTACCATATTGGAACCAGAAACCTTCGTAATAAATTTCTCTCGAAATACTACCAATAACAAAACTTTTCATTGTGTGTGAACCGTTGAAACATAATTATCCTTATATTTGATGTATTCCACGACGCTCAAACTTTTACTGACGTCAATAATAATATATACCGATTTTTGTACATTAGGGACGACAGTTTACAGGCATCACCAATTCGACAAATCATACATAAGATTAGTAAGCATAGTTAGTAAAGTTAGTAAAATAAGGTACATATTTTTTACTAGCTATGTAGGATACGCCAGTTGTATGGGCGTATTTATTTGGTGGATGGTGACTAGTGCTGGAATTCAGGATGCGCATTTCGTCCTGTTTGGGCTAAGTGAGCTGGATACACCTTCATTTCTCAGTGAGCGATGATTTTCCCACCGAGGATCTAACTCATTTCAATTAAATGTATAAGTATTGTTTAAATTACATGATTTACGGTTGCGGTAAATTTGTCTTTATATTGTGGGAAAAACCTGACAATAGTGATTCAATGGACCTCATAAAGAGATATAGAGATATTGACTTCGATTAGCAAAATAAACCGAAGTATTCGCTGGGTGGAGTACAGATGCTCAGCTCTTGCTGCATTCGGGCTCACGCTGTTCCTCGAAGCTTCTCAGAAACGCTTAGTACGAACGGACGCAAAAACCAGAACCTAGTTATGCGACTCGAGAATTCTTTATTGTGACACCAACATATAGGCAACTTTAAAATTAAGTTTTAACTAAAGTCTATGAACAAATATTACAATAATAAATCACAATATAAATTCTGACAGTTTTGGCCTGACTTCATTCTGAACAGCGACCGATGAGACGATGACTGGTGTATCGATATCTCCGCGAAAATATAGGAAATTTGGGTTTGATCAAACAATCATGAATTGATCGTTCAATCTTCAACTACATTGACACTCCCCACCTAAAAAGGGATCCATCCATTTTTCCATCACGGCCAATACACGTTGACTTGAATGCCATTGCGAGAACCTGGGTCACACGGACTGAGCTGAAGTGGAAAACAAACAGAAAAGCCAACACACCACAAGCGTACCCACAGCACAATCTCACACATCAATGAGGACCTACATCTTCCAGTTAAAGGCATCCCCTTGACATCTTGCAACAAAATCCTCACCTGCTAGAATGACTCTTGCAGAACGCAACGTGACCATAGCAGCACCTCACGATACTCTACGCACATCTTCTTATCTACTCACTACCAATTACCACTGCGATCGCTTGTCACTCGTTCTGACTCAGTTCTAGTAACGGTGACGTATGCGAGCCTCAGTCGTTTACACTCTTTCTCCCCGGCGTGTCGGACCGCAGCTAACAATTATCTCCGTATGTATTTCATTCTCAGCAATAGCCTAGCCTCCCCGGCGTATACGACCCATCTGCTGTCCTTAACATCAATCAATTCATTTACGAACGTAGAAGACTGGAAACAACTTCAGAAGTAATCACGACGAAAATTTTAACAAAATTACGCAATAACACCAAGGTACGAAAACAATGAGTAAATACAATTAATCCAAAAACACCAATTGATATGACACACCACACATATATACAAACAGTACACACAAACTCGCGGATCATGTCTTGGTGGAATTCCTTTGAAGAATCTCAGGACTTACACCAGTACGCCTACAACCCTTCTCACGTTGACGATTGTAATTTGTGGAATGTCCGGACACAAACAAGATTAACCAACAATTATAATAATTGGAACTCACACAACTATTTAACACAAACATATGTACGATCAATACATCAAATGTGATGGATTCTGCCTTGACGAACTGCCCTTGAAGAACTGTGGGACTTACAGCAGTACGCCTACATTCCTTCTCAGGTTGATGATCCAAGTGGAAGTCGTCCGGACACAAACAGAATTACCAACAGCTAGATGACAGATGATATCAATTCAGTATGTACGACATGAACATATGTACAAATTCACACACCAAGCACATTGGACTGCTCATTGATGCGCTACCCTTTGAAGAATTGTTGAACTTACAGCAGTACGCCTACAACCCTTCTCAGGTTGACGCTCTAGGTTGGAAAATCGTTGCAGAGTTCATTTGCTAACTTCCTTCTATGAGCTATATCCTCAAATCTGAACGGCAACACGCTCATTTCATTGTATCGTAGAATATAGATGACGAACAAACATACGACATATCTGATCAACCAAGTGTAGAAACAGAGTAATTTACACCAAAGATAATGGCATTCAATTAGTAACTTGAAACTAGAAATGCCTTTATTCATGCAAGTCAATTTAACAATTACTTTCTCGTTTACACTTGACTTATCCTCACTAAACTGAACAACATCCTTCGTCCTTTCAAATGCACCAATGATATCAAAGTCATTGCACAAGGTACTTGAGTTGATCGGTGTCTTTCTCATTGTGGATGACAGCACCAACGACGACTGATTGATACCAGTTAATGAACTTAGCGGTGGATCAAAAGCTGGTGTTGCTCGGCTTTCAGAAAGTTGTCTAACTGCAAGATTACCACCACTGCTGTCTTTTACTATCAGCTCCGGTTCAGCACTATCATCTGATGATAGGTGGGCTACACGCTGATCAATCACACTGACGATTTGAGAAGTATGCATGCCTTCTGCTATTGCATCTGCATTTAATTCTACTTCACCTTCAAGTTGCACAGAACCTTTATTTAACTTAGCAGTAGTAGGCATTCCCCTCATTTTATCATGATCAATCAAAGACAAATGTGAAGTATCATGATCATTATCATGAATATTCACTTTACCGTCAATTTCATCATTTTCAAACTCTTTAATATCAGAAGTAGACAATTTTGGTTCCTCCTCACAAATCATTAAAGGTTCTACATATTCACTCTGACTAGTAATACTTTGTAAACTTGTGGAGTCAGAACTGTCCTCTGAGACTGTAACTCTCCTCTGTGACACTCTATTCAACAATGGCTTACCAGTTGCAACTACAGGATTATTGACCACACCGTTATTGTCACACAATTCGGAGTCAGACCTTGATTTCACATTTAGCTTATCATTAAACTTGCTCACTGATTCACAGCTCACCTTTGTATGCACCTCTTGCAAACGTGTAAAACACAACCGTGATTGTCTTGCATCTTGCAACTTATCTGTTGAGGATGTACTACGAAACCTGTTACACTCACTAGGTCTATAGGCATTACTATACATCATGGAGCCTTCTCGATATCCACCTCTCTGAGGCCGATTCGTCATCAATGATTGCGTTTTGCCCTCAGACTGCTCTATTCTAGGGGTGAGATTCAATATACTGGCAAACTTGCTCCTAGATAAACTGATGCTATCTTTTACTAGTTTCAGGATATCATCGAACTTTGGCTCGATACCCTCATCCTCCATACGGGAGCTTATCTTCACCCACTTCCTTTGCAGTCGAGTAGGTAGGCGTCTTGCTATTACTTCTAGTATAAAACTCAAGTTGAGGTCACTCATGCAATTCATCGAGATCAATGCATTCTTGTAATTCAGCAAATTATGCAAAAACTCAGTGAGTGCCTTGGAGTCATCCTGTAATTGATCACCATTACCCTTAACAGCCTCGAATAATTTCCCTACAATCATCGAAGGTCTCCCAAACCTTTGACATAATATGCTCATAGCCTCGTAGTAGCCCTCTTTTGGCTTCATAAACTTACAGCACTGTATAGCTCTTGCAGCATCTCCAGTGCAATGCCTCATCAAATACATTGACTTCATTTCATCAGTTAATAAAAAACCACTCAACATGATCTCAAACTCTTTTACAAACTGTAAATAATCAGCCGGGTTTCCATCGAAACACCGTGGTTCTAATTTAGGGAGTTTGATAGTCCTACTATCACTAGACGGAGAAACAGTAACATCAACCATGTCATGTTTAACATCAGACACATCGTTACAATTAATAATAATAGTATATTCTCATTTTGTACATGAGGGACGCCAGTTTACAGGCATCATCAGTCTAATAAATTGCATATACAATTAGCAATCACACTTATTAATAGTGTTTTAGTAAAGTACACATTTTTTCCTACCTGTGTAGGACACATCAAATGTACAGACAAGTCAACATGACTTACTTTCCTGTTTGCATCCAAGACGCTTTGTCCCTTCTTTGACCCCGTCAGAGACTGACTTCACTGTCAGAAACTGTCAGCCACGTCTCGTAAACCGTCAATGCCCATCTCTTGCTGCACTCGGGCTCACGCTGTTCCTTGAAGCTTCTCAGAAACGCTTAGTAGTAACGGACGCAAAAACCAAAACACCAATTGGCGACTCGAGAGTTATTTATTCTAACACCA